GGGATGGGGGTGGGCAGAGGGGGGATGGGGGGGACTGGGTGGGTTGTGGGGCTGTGTGGTGTGAGGGGTGATGGTGGGAGATGGGTGGGGGTGGGCAAAGGGGGCAATGGGGGGACTGGGTGGGTTGTGGGGCTGCGAGGGGCGATGATGGGAGATGGGTGGGGGTGGGCAGAGGGGAGATGGGGGCGCTGGGTGGGTTGTGGGGCCACGAGGCGCTGTGACCCCGCAGGCGGCCCAGCGGCATCCCGGAGGCGGACGCCCGCAGCGCCTTGGTGCCGTTCCTGCTGAAGCAGCGCTGCTTCCTGAGCCGGGAGCTGAGCCGCGGCCGGGAGGAGAACCGCGCGGCGGCGGCGGCGGTGCTGGAGGGCAGGGAGCGGATCGCAGCGCTGCGGCGCGGCATCGCAGAGCGCAGGGCGGCGTGGCAGGTGGGCAGCAGGGCCCCTCGTGCAGCGGGGAGCCGTCGGTGTCCCAAAAAGCGACGGGCGCCGCTGGGGGGCTGCGGGGCTGCAGGGCGATCCTGGGTAACGACCCCCTGGGTCATGGAGGACCACAGAATCTGGCTGTGGAGGAAGGGGTATTTGGGGGGGCTTGAAGGGCCGCAGGACCTTAGGATGGTTCCCAACCCACGGTTTGTGATCCGTGGTTTTGTGATCTTCCAGGATCCCTCACCCCCAACATTTTGTGATCCGTGGTTCTCTGGTCTTCCAGGACCTCCCCACCCCCAATATTTTGTGATCCCATGGTTCTGTGATCTTCCAGGACCCTCCCACCCCAACCACTCAGTGAACTCACGGATCTGTGGTCTTTCACAATCCTCCCAACCCAACCATTCTGCCACCCCAGGGTTCTGGGACCTTCCACCTAAGCACTGTGTGATCCCAAGGTTTTTTGGCCTTCCAGGACCCTCAACCATTCTGCACAGTTGGGCTGAGGTGGTCCTGGAAGGACGTGGAATCATGGAGTCACAGCACGATTGGATCGGGAGGGTGGTGGAAGGCCACTGAATCGTGGAAAGGTTCCATTGGGAAGGTTCTGGAAGATCCAAAAACATGGAATCACAGAATGGTTGGGTTGGGAGGGTCCTGGAAGACCACAGAAGCACGGAATCGCAGCACAGTTGGGTTAGGAGGCTACAAAATCATGCTGTGGTGGAATGGTTGCCTTGGGAGGGGCTTGGAGGGCACAGAACCCCAGGAGGACAGGGGTGGGAGGGTCCTGGAAGACCAAAGAACTCTTGGCTCAGTTGGGCTGCGAGAGTCCCTGAAGGCCATGGAGTCACAGAATGGTTGGGGTGGGAAGGTCCTGGAAGGGCACAGAGGCACGGCAGCAGGGCAGGCTCAGGCTGGAAGGATGCTCTGCGCTCCCCTGCAGCCCTGTCCTTCACCGGGCCGAGTGCTGGGAGGCAGCAGGGTGCGAAAGGACCGGGAGCTGGGCAGCAGTGAGGGGGGCGATGGGGCCGGGGGGGGAGGGGGGGGTCGGCCCTGGTGAGGCCCAACTGCAGCGCTGCACCCGGGGGGGGACGCAGGAAAGGAGCGGGGCTGCAGGATGGGGTCCAGAGGAGGGCAAGGAGCTGAGCGGGGGGCTGAGAGAAGAGAAAGGGGGAGCGACCCTGCTGCAGCCTGCAGTGCCTGAAGGGCGGCAGGAGGGGAACCGACTTTTCACTGGGGCAGAGAGCGAGGGGGGAGCGGATTGAAGGAGGGGAGGTTTGGCTGGGATGTCGGGGGAAGCTGCAGAGAGAGGCTGCGGGGCCCCATCCATCCCTGCAGGCATTCAGGTGGGATGGGGCCCTGGGCAAGCTGGGCTGGCAGCAGATCTGGAGCTTGGTGGCCCTGCCTGGGGCAGGGAATGGAGCTCAGCGATCCTCGGGCTCCCTTCCGACCCGGCCATCCTGCGGCCCCTGAAAGCTCTCGGGTTCGGAGGTGGGCGCCCCTGCAGCGCCTTGGCTCGGGGCTTTCCTGGAGCAGCGCAGCAGTTTCGCATCCCGCAGGCGCTGAGCCGGGAGCAGCGGGCGCTCACAGCGGCGCTGCAGCCGCCCCAGGAGGGGCGAACGGAGCCGCTCGGCGCTCACACCGGGGGACGCTGACGGCGCGTCGGGGCCGTGAGTTGGAAACGAAACCCTTCGGGTTCAATGCGTTTGGGCGAAGAAGCGTTGGAAGAAATAAAGGAAGGCTTCGTGTCTCTTGACCGAGTTCATCTGGGGGGACGCGGCGGTGGGGATGTGGGGCAGGGACCGAAGCGCGGCCCCTCGTGCTGTGCGGCAACGGGGCTGCGGGACATCGGGAGCTCGGGGCCGAAGAACCTCGGGGGGCAATGAGTGCAAACGCGCCCGCCCCCCGCGCGTCCTGCCAGCGGAATTCTTAGAAGCAAAGCAGCAATTTCCGCCCGGCTCAAACCGTCTGCAATTACAGCCCGGCGCGGGCTGACGAGCGCTTTCCCTTCGTCGCAGCCAAACGCTGCCGGTGCCGCTCGGCCTCCTGGCCGTCGCACTCTGCACTTTGCGGTCCGTCAGACAAAGGCTTTGGTGCAGCCGAACCTCCGCCCCAAAACCTCCGTTTCCGCCGCTCCCGGATGGGTTGGGACGCGCAGCGCCCGCGGTTCGGGGCGGGGGGAGGTCAGAGCAAAGCCCCCCCTCACCGGCTTCGGCCACGGCAGCGGGGATGGAAGAATGGAAGAACCCCGGGCGGCCCAAACCGCAGCCGCTGCCCGCCGGCGGATGTGCTGGAAATAGCGCTGGGATCGGCCGGGGGGGCCGGGGGGGCGCGGGGTTCTATAAAGGCGGTTCGGTTCGGGGCGCCGCAGCGGAGCTGCACCATGAAGGCCGCGGTTCTGCTGCTCCTCGTGGCGCTGCTCGCGTTCAGCCTCTGCCACGGCGGTACCGGGGGGACACAGAGCTGCGGGGACGGGATGGGAATGGGGATGGAGGGGGACAGGGGTGGATGAGGGAAGGAAAGGGGCAGCGGATGGGGCGAGGGGATCACAGAACGGCCAGGGTTGGAAGGGACCTCAAGGGTCGTGAATCTCCAACCCCCCGCCACCAAGCTCCACATTTATTTAATGCCAGCCCAGGCTGCCCAGGGCCACGTCCAACGTGGCCTCGAACACCTCCAGGAGTGGGGATGGATAGGGGAAGGAATGGGGTACGGGATGGGGATGGATGGGGCAGGGGACGTGGATGGAGGAGGGAGGGAATGGGGCAGGGGATGGGGACGGATGGGGGAAGGAGCGGGCAGGGCCGGATGCGGCTCAGCACCCATTGGCTCCGCTGCTCTCACAGCACCCGACGGCTCCGATGCTCCCAGCGCTAAAGGTGGGTGCTCACGGCACGGTCACGGACCCCCCCCTCGCCCCCTACTCTGGGGATGGGGTCACCCACCCCCTTCCCCCCCTCTGTGCCCGCAGCTTTCATCTCCCACCGCGCCAGCGCCGAGATGGTGCAGAGGCAGAAGAGGAATTTGGCCCTCGACGGGTAACGGCAAAGCCACTTTTTGGGCACTGCGGACCCCCGGCAGCCCCTCACAAACCCCAATTAGGGCCCGCACCCCCCCCTAACCCCGCACCCCCCCCCAATCCCTCCGCAGCGGCATCGCCGGAGCTCCGGACCCCCTGGAGTCCAAACGCGAGGTGTGCGAGCTGAGCCCCGACTGCGATGAGCTGGCGGACCAGATCGGCTTCCAGGAGGCGTACCGCCGCTTCTACGGCCCCGTCTGAGCCCCCCCCCCCCCACCCCCCCGGGGCTCCCCCCCCCCCCCCCCCCCTCAGTAATGCTCCACTTCCCCGCGAAGGACGGACAGAAATAAAGGCACGGTGCAGGGCACGGCGGCTCCTTCCTGGGTAGGGGGTGTGTGTGGGGGGTCTATTGTAGCATTGGGGGCATCAGCACTGCAGCTCAGCCCCATAGGGGCTGCCTGTCTCCAAGACCCTCCAACCTCAGCAGGTCCCCCCAGGGGGCCCCGCCGGGGGGGGGGGGGGGGGGGGGGGGGGGGGGGGCGGCCGCGGGCGGCCCCCGGGCGGGGGGGTGCAGGGGGTCTGGGGGTTCACAGAGCCGGGGAGGGGCGGTGCAGCCTGAGGGGTTCCACATCCCCCCCCAAAGCAGGGAGGAACGACGAACACCGAGCTGAGCATCACGAAAAGGGAAAGCAAACCAAAGCGCAGAAACACACAGCGCAGTACGAGCAGCACTCGCAGCTTTCTTTCCCCTCCCCTGCCCCACATTTCGCTCTCTGCTCCCCATAGCATCGGGGGGGAGGGGTTGAGCCCGCAGCCGAGTCCTGAGTGCAGAGTGGGCGCAGCGCAGCTCAGCACAGAGCTCAGCACAGTGGGGCTGCAGCCATCGGTGCCCATCTCCTCCCCCCCCCTCCATCTGCCCGTCCCAGAGGGGCAGCGATGGGGTTGGGGGGCTCAGAAAGCTGCAGCCCCCTCCAATCCCCCCCCCCTCCCCCGTAGGCACGGCGCACTTGGACATTCCAGCGCCGCTCTGAAGGTTTCCTCCTCTCCTTTGTGGCCACGCGGCCACTCCACAATCCAAAGGGGCACGGAGGGATGGGGACAAAACAGCGACGGCTTTGTGGGTGCCACCGTGGGACCCCAAAGAGCGCAGCACCAGCAGCCCCACAAACTCTGCTCCCCAATTGCAGCGCGGGGGGGCAGCGCTCCCCTCCTCAGCACAACGCCGGCCGCTCCTCCGCCCCGGCAGAGCAGCGCAGAGCTGCAAAACGGAGCTCAGAAACCACGGGGGATCCCTTCGTTCCCACCTCAACCCCACGGCGCGGCTGCGACCCAACGCCACGGAAATGGGGGCTGCTTGGTGGGGCTTTACCTGAAAGGAAGGGACGTCCCGAATGCTGCGCTGCAACACGGGGTGGGGGGAAAAAATGCGTGCGGAAACGTCGCTCCGACTGCCTGCACGGTGCTCCCCTCGGCTGCTGCGGTTTGCACTGAGGCTGCAGGAGCTTGCATTGCTGCTGCAGTTCACGATGCTGCTGCAGGACTTTGCACTGCCGCCGCTGTTCACCCGACGGAGCCGAGCTGCCGGGCGCCGTGTCTCAGAACGATGCGCTGCAGCGCTGCTCCTGCTGTCCCCCCCCCCGGGCTGCCCTGGGTTCCAGGCGTGGGGCACGGGGTGCAGCACAGGCAGGACGGAGCTCCCAAGGCCCTCGTGTGGGGAGCTGCTCTTCTGGAGCCGCAAAGGGTCCCGGCCCGGGGAACGGGCTCCTGGAGATGGAAGAGGTCCTCGGCGCGGGGATGTTCTCTTGGAGCTCGGGGGGGGAGCGGGGGGGGAACCTTCGCAAAGGGAAGCGCCCCTCTTGGTGCTGCGAGGGGTCCTGAGCGAGGGGAATTGGGCTCCTGGAGCTCTGGGATCCTTTGCACGGGGAATTTGGGCTCCTGGAGCTCTGGGATCCTT